ATTTTTTCCACATTTGTAATTGGATATCCCTATAACAAGATTAATTCCATTGAAGCTTTGATAATAAATCCCTTTTGTAATCATTTAAAATATTTTTAATGCAGATATGTAATTGAGTTTAGTGGGCAGTGTCATTTGATAAAACTAACTGGGTCTTATTAGCATGACATTTGAAATGATTAAAGCTATCTAGTGGTTCCTGATTGTGGTCTTTTAAATTAGTAAAATTATTTCCCTGATCAGTGCCAGCAGATGCAAATGTAATTGTTCTTTGGACCAGAGACTGTCAGATATTTATAGGGGATTATGAGAGAGCCAGTGAGCTGCCGAAGTTCTCCTAGTTAGGTAGACTGGTCAGAAAATATTAGATCCCCGTCCATTGCTTTGTCCACTCCAACATGCTGACTCTCAGCATAGTTTATTAACTCTATTTATGTCAGGAAGTATTTATTGTTGGCCTATTGTGTGTTAGTATAAACATATCCAGTTTCACTTTAAACAGTGATTTCACTATACTTTGTATGTTAGAAATGAGAAGAGTTGAACAAAAAGTGTCAGGGAGGAAGAGGGAAAGAAAGGAATAAGGAAAAAAGAAAAAAGCAACTAAGTAAGTCCAGAAGATATTAAAAATACAAAATTGTCCAAAGTGTTGTGTTTTTGCTATTAATTTGTGTCTCCCCCACATATTTTAGAGTTAAACCTTTTCCTCTCCTATTTCATTGTTACTATTAAGCTCATGTAATCATGAAATAGAGAAATATTCCAAGTTATACTTGACAAAAAGTAGACAGTGGGCTGGTTTTTGACCCACCAGTAAGTATGTTTTGTATCCAATTCTGAAATGTCTAAGCATGAAATTAATATCATCAATTCAAAATCAATCAGGATGTACTGGGTGATGTCCTCTAATTAGCCTCACAAATCAACCTCATTTTCACATTTTAATCATCAAAGCATCAAAAGTAAACCAGTACCTTACCTAATATCAAAAGAATGCAACCAATTAAATGTCACTCTTCTGAGCCAATTTGTTTAATATTGAAAATATTATTTCTTATATTTTCTTGTAGTTTGCTCCGATAAGTTTAAAATAAGAGAATGAATTAATTTATAAAGCACTTTATTATCTTTGTTCTAGCATAGATGTAGTATCTTTTCAATACTCTTATTTATCTTTGTAAGTTTTTTTCCTCTACAGATAGAATATTTTGAAGTAACTCTTCATATCCTATCAGTAGTCTGTCTTTTCTGTATTATAGGGTATTGCCGATCCTTGAAACTATTCAATTTGGTTTCCATGAATTATTCTTAATTTTCAATACCAATATTGTAATGATAAATAAATTTTCAAAGCTACAAAATGGAAAGAGGAGACTCATTGATTTAAAGTAATTTTAAACCAATCTGTAGCACTTGGATTATTTATTTTCAATTTAGATTTTAGTGTAATTTGAATATAATGGTCATTTATCATGATTACTAACATTCCATAGTTCAGATTAACAAATGTTTACTTCACTGTCTGTGTAAACACAGTCGTTATTATGCTAGTGTATCTATGCACGCTGAAGTAATATTTAACCAAGGAAAGCTTCCATTTTAAAATTAATAAAATGTATCTGAGTAATTTTGAATGCTTTCAATTTACAATGAATCAGTTTGTAATTGATTTTGCTTTTCTTCAGTGTTATTCTTTGTTAACTTGTTATATAAGTCACCTTTAATGCCAAAACTTCAACAAAGCCTTAAATTTCATTAATCCTTAAGTTATCCAACAAATCAGTTAATAGTTGTTAAGCAATTTGAAACAATATTAAAAAATCAAGGAAAAAAAAGTGTTGTCTTTCTCAGTTTCTCTGTCTCTTCCTTCTTTTGTGTCCATTTATCTGTTTATTAAACTTCCCTGTGTTCTACTTTATATGTATTTTGTATGACTTCACAGTCATGCTAAAGCTCTTAAAATTAAAAGGTAAGTAAAAAAATTAAAATGTGCCAACCCCGTGCTTGGTATATACTTTCTCCTCAATATTATAACTGTGGTTTTGTTATTTCTATATATTCTAAAACCTATCTTGTGTGCATTGTCTAACATTGTGTGAATTAATTGTGATTCTAGTTCTTCTGTGACCATATATTTTCTTTAAAATTCAACAGAAGTAATTTATTCAATAATTCGGATGATATATCAAACATTGTTTTCAACTGAGAACTAGTTGAAATGTGCTTTCCAGGGAGACTTCTGGCTATTGAAGAGTCTAGGATTCAAAAGTGAGATCCCAGCTCAAAGTGTAGATTTGGTAGATATTAAAATCATAGTCAAATTCAAGGAATAAAATATATTTCATTATGGAGGAAACCTTGGGAGAGAGATACAGATCCAAGTTCTAAGCCTTTGTAATTGGTCTATTTGAGTATGTGGAGAGATGAGCCAGAGAAGAAGCAGGTGGAATAAAACAGGTAAATCTGACTGCAGAGAGCCTCATGTTATTTTGACATCCAAGTTCTCAATAAAAATTATTTTAAACATTATTCATCATCATATATTCACCAAATCATGGAGAACATCACAGTTGCTCTTATTAAATGTTAGCAAATATGAACAACAGTTCAATAGCATGGAATACCACCAAATTGCTGTTGTATGTTATGGTTCTAAAGGATCTTAATCTTTTTACTTTTATAATCCTTTGAACAATATATGGTTTTAAAGTACAGTAGTATACTAATAATACAGACACTGTAACATCCTTTAGGCATATTTATAGTACTACCAATCTGTACTTGTTCAGAAAACTATTACGATATTTCAAATGATGAATGATCATTAGGATTTAAAAACTAGTACTATAAGTCCCTTGAAAATAAATCTCATAAATCCTTTCAGGGAAGTACCTAGAAAATATGTGTTTATTCACGTTGCATGTGAAAATTATGTCCTTGTGAATAGCATTTGATTATCACTTCTTCATTAGTAACAGACTTCTTTTAGATATTTGGTTTGTCCTTGAACACTTATCCTTATTGTCCTCCAGCAGTTGCTATCTAATAAAGATAAAGTAAAGCTATGCCTGGGAATGTGATTGGGGAAAAGTAGGTGGACACCAAACTTGATGAATGTAATCATCCTGGCATAAAGACACTGAGGGCCGTTCCTGAATTGGTTTTACAAAGAGAAAACTTTTAGCTCTGAAAGAAAATCAGATTTCTGTATGTCATCTTGGGTTTTCAAAAGCTATCACATATAAAATATTTTCTAGTGTTTTAAGGAACAAAATTCGACATAAAGATCAAGAGAGTACAAATGTGTTTTATTAACGGAATTTTAATCTAACAATTAAATCTTGCCTACTTTTTTAAGTATATACTTGATTTTCAATGTCTTTTCATTCATCACTTTTGAATTGTTTTGTTTAGAAAATCAAGGAGTTTTAAAATTTGTTGAGACTGTGGTCATTATCAATTTTAAAATTAAATAAACTGTGATGTTTTATAACATTGGAAAACATATTCAGATCCTTTATGTGAAATATACTGAGTTCATTTTTTTAAATTTATTTGTGCCACCGAAGAAACCATTCCTAAGGCAAGCTAATGGCATTGTTTGTCTTAGGAGAGCATGCCTGTCAATTTTACTATGGTAAAAATGCCATTTAAAATAGCTGAGCAAATTGCCATGTAGTTTTCCTAAGGATAAGGTGACAATTCTGCATTTCTACCTGAGTTTACTGTTATTTGATGAATGAGGCAATTTCCGATAAGACATATTTACCCAAATGGTATTTATATCAGAATATTTAAAATAAGATCTAATTCAACTTTTGAATATTAAAAATTAGCCCAGTCAAATGTATATGTAAATCAACTTTCGTTGATACCAAAGAATGATGAATTGCATTATTTTGCATGTATGTTCAGCTCTGGTGATGTTAAATGTTTCTCCTTATTTGCATCCTCAGGTACTTTCCCAGTTGTATTTCAAGACCTTTATAAAATATAATATGCAAACATAATGCATGTCATTAGTTTAGCAACAGGAGGTTGAATAAATGTCTTTCTTTTGGTTTATGTTTCTAATAAAAAGTAATTTTGATTTAAATTAGCACTATCTTTTTTTTTAGGCCTCCATTCCTTTGAAGGAATTGGAGCAGTTTAACTCAGATATACAAAAATTGCTTGAACCACTGGAGGCTGAAATTCAGCAGGGGGTGAATCTGAAAGAGGAAGACTTCAATAAAGATATGGTAAATTGGTTGTGATAAAAGTGTGAATGAACTAGGAGTGAAAATGAATAAATATTTGGAAAGAAATTAGATAACTCAAGTCTCCAACTGAATTTTCAGAACACATTTTGCACATTTTATGAGTCTAATGATTTTTATAAATGCAAAGTATTCTTGTTGCCTTTTTATTGTGAATGCCAAATTACTATTATATGGCCATGTAGGAGCACTTTTGATTTTAGTAAATAGCTCAGCAATTTCGTTTTGACCTGTACTATTTTAAAACTCATCAAGGGCAAAATGTAATCAGAAAAAAACTGTCAAATCAAAAAATAAACTAAAAATTTAATAAGAAACTCAACTATCACAGATGGCTGAAGTTTTGTATCAGTCATGTTTTTGGTAGTAGAACGTTTATTTCAGAGAAGGGGCAATTATACACAATACAAACATTGTGTATTAAAGTTTACCACAAAGTGGTTTTACCAAAATGTTGAGTAAATAATACAATATGTGTCTAAAATGTGTATAAATTCATGCTGCTTATTTCATAGGAGTAAAGAAATATGACCATGTGGGCTATTCCCAACCTCAGAACATTCTCCTTCAATCTTAATTAATTTCAAAATGTCTTCTACATATCTCTCTGGCTTGAATTTTTCTGCATCACATCCTTCTTCACTGAGTTTTTTTCTCCCTTAACCCTTCTTTTCACAATTTCTTTCCCCCTGTTCCACTGCCATCACCTCTGTGGCATTCTTAATGTTTAAATGCATAAAGCTAGAGATTTCTCAGACATGTATCAATGCTAGAGACTTCTCAGACAAATCTTAAAAATGACATCAGAAAGCAATATATAAATTTTAGATAATAAGCCTGTGGAACTATTTCCACCAATCTTAGTTCCCACTGGTATCAGTTCTGAGTTCCTGGAGCTGCCTCAACCAATAATCCCTGTTTGTGGGGTTTGGTGGCCTTGCCAACTCAGCTCATGGAAAGAAAGACAAGAAGAGGCTTTCCAAGGTGCTGAGTTACAACAACCTCTACTTCATGTCAAAGAAGAAAGCAGAGGGCACCGAGATGAAAAAGAGTGCTGCTTACCTCTTGGGCTGACCGGCAAACCTGCCCTAGAGCCCTCATTTGGTGTAGGGAAAGAAGTGAAATGGGTTCCATTTATGTGTACGCATGCGTGCGTGCGCGCGCATTTGTGTGTGTGTGTGTGTGTGTGTGTGTGTGTGTGTTTGTCCTCAGCCTTACAAAATGCTGTAGACTTAAGTAAGGTCCTTTACAGACTGTAAATATATAATATGTCTATATTATATGATCCCATTCTCTCTAAACAAAATGAATAGGTCTTCAGTTGTATGTTGAAGTTTAAGCATGCTTTATAGATTTAAATATATACATGCATACATATGCATGTGACTTTTGAAAATTGTCTATTATTTTTTATTCTTAGCTCATTGATGTACCTTGGGTACCATTACTTGATGAGCCTCCTTGATAGAAAAAGTTTTAATACTCTGAGTTGAAAGAAAATTAGGAAACTGATGTGAAAAATCACGTGGTCACGTATGCAATTATATTAGACCAGCACTTATTCAAATAATTTTATTTCTAAGCAAATAAAGTTAAATGTTGTTCTTGTAGTCTAAAAGAACAAAATGCACATTGAAAACTTTTAAAGCCATTTACCAATCCATGTTTTAATACTTATTTGATCTTATTTATTTAAAGACAACATGCATATATGAAGTGCTTTTTAGAAATTGTTTGAAAGGAATTTAACACATCATTTTTACCTAATACCCTGATATTTGTCCTAAATTTGGGCATTTAGATTTTAAATATAAAGCAGAAATTATTATATAGAAATCAGTGTACATTTAAAACAAAATATTTTCATTTAGTAGTGTATTAGTATTTTAAGATTTCCTGCCATCTCATACTCACATATATACATCTATATTCCCATATGCATCAGTTAAAATTAGAAATGATGAGATTAGTTTATTTGTCTAAACTTTTTGATTTCTAGAACTATGCTAAAAATCAAAGCCAAAATAGTACTTTCAAAGTAATTCATGTCTTATCTGAAATGATAAAGTACCATATTCCCCCATCTTCCTACATGTGCCCCTAAAAATGTACCCTTTAGAACTAGATGGGAGGAAATTTACTGTTTTTAAATATCTAAAGTACAAAATATAAAAGAAAGGCTATGTGCACAGTATCTTACAATAACATTCCCTGAAAGTTTGAAATTGGATTTTTGTGTGTGTTTAAATAACATGTTTTGTTATCTCTGTTAACAATGTACAGCTTTTTAAAAACCAAAATGAAGACTGTACTTGTCGTTTTTAATCAGAATGAAGACAATGAGGGTACTGTAAAAGAATTGTTGCAAAGAGGAGACAACTTACAACAAAGAATCACAGATGAGAGAAAGCGAGAGGAAATAAAGATAAAACAGCAGCTGTTACAGACAAAACATAATGCTCTCAAGGTATTAGAGCTAAAATTATAATATACCTTGCTGTGGTTTTTTTTAATATATATGATAAAATATATTGTGCATAAATAAAATCTGCTTAAGACTCTTAGTCACCAGAAATTCACTTTTTTTCTGTTCAATGTGTGTGTTTTATTTAGCATTTTTGAGTGGTGTCTGATTTTGAAAGACGTGTTGATTAAAAATTATGGCTTTTTGCTCAGAGGAACTAAATTTTTCTGAGTAGTAATTGAAAGACGTCAAAATGCATCATTCATATTACTTATACATTAAATTTTCTAATATACATTATTTTTATAAGCTACTTTTGTATTTGTGTTGAAACCCCGCCTAACTGCCAGAATAACCAATCTATATTTCCATTATTTCTGTTTCTTTTACTTTACTGATTTTATTTATAGTAGGTCCAATTTTTTGGTAACCTAATACTTGTTTAATAGGCCTGGATTCTCCTATTTTTAAAATAAACTTTATTGTGCCTTTAAGAGAGTCACTCTTTGCAACTAACTTACCATCTACCAGAGTCTAATTTCATTTATGTAGAAATCCTCAAAAGTAACTTTAATGCCCTTGAAGAAGTGCTACTTTCATATTCAGCAGCAGTAGTATATGGCTTCAAATACCCACGGGACGCATCTGTATTGTGCAGAAAAAACAGAATAAACTTAATTTTCCTATAATATCTAGGAAGTTCTTGAGACTGGACATACGGAATGTTTTGCGAAATAACCCTTTTTTGTACATGCTTTGCAATATTCACTATTTGCATGCATGGCTGACTTTCTAATGCTGTTAATTGCCAAGCTTTTCATTGTAAATCACTCTTTTAGAGCTATGTAGTTATATAGGTGGATCTGCCTAGTAGGTAGATGGAGTCTGCTTTCTATATGCAAATAAGAGGATAAAACCTTTCCCCCTATAGTCAACCAAATAAACACTGCTGAGAATGTAATTACACAATATTGTGCCTTCAAGGAACCCACAAGGAAAGTCTAATTGGCCAGCAGGTGTTCTGAAGGTAACTGCTGATAAATATAGTAAATAGAAAAGGCCTCTTCCTGGAGGGAGTGCAAAAGCAAACCATAATGTGTTTAGAAAATCAGAAAGCTATGTAATTCACACCCTTCCAACTGTGACCAAGCTTTCCGCAGTAGTGCTACTGGTCATATGATGATGTGTGTCCTATTGAATAGCAGTGTTTAGTGGTTATCTGGCATACCTCTAAAAATATATATATATGTGATGTCTCTAAATATTTTTGCATATGACACATCACTTTGTGTTTAAGAAATAGAAGGTATTTCAGACTTAGGACTGCTAAACCCTTTCTCTTGGCAAAGATGTGAGTTGTGTCACAAATAAGGCATGGCTCAATTCTCATTCACGTTGCTGTATCATGGTACCTTTGAAAAAAGCAGCATTCTATCTCACTCATCCCAGGCATTTATTACCTCCACAGGAGGTTTGGAAATTCAACACAAAATGTAAAATACAGTAAATTTTACATCCCCAATTTTAAACAAAATGGAGAATGAAATCTAGATCATTCTTGCAAATAATATTCTGTGAGTGATTAATCAGAATTGTCAACTCTACTTCCAAAACCGATCTATACCACCAAATTCAGTAACTTTGTTTATTAGCCAGTGGTTCCAATTTTAGTCCTTATGAAATGTCTCAAAGAAGGTCAAAACTTTCCAATATAATGAATTTTTCAGAAGTTCTTTGATATTCATTATTTTCTTTGGCTTGAGTTAAACCTGTGCATAAAACTCTAATTGCTACCTCTTTATAGAAATGAAAGCTGTATGCAGAGCTCTTATGTTCCCATGAGTTATAAAATGGCATTTTGGCTAACTCTGTTGATCAGGGAAGACATTCGTTGTAAGGAGCAAGATGATTGATTTTCTCCCCTTTGTTGATATATTAAATGAGACATTCTTATTTATCTCATCAGATTGACTGGAAAACATGCACTTTCTCTTTTCTTTTTTTTAAATAGTTAATTATTTTACATTTGGAACATGATGTGGTATTACAAGATAAATCTGCCCATGCAAGCCTTGGAAGGAAAAGCGTTTTTCTAACATTTAAATTGTCATTTTCATGCACACTCACAGCTATACGAGCAACAATAACATTTCTATATGTACAGCTTGGCACAACTTATAACTAAAATAACTTTATATTTGTAATCACAAAATGTTAATGGTCTATGAAACATTTTATAGGCATTCCTATAACGATGAATGTATTGAATGTATGTTGCTTGACTTTATAAACTTAAAATTTTGTTGATGAGCCCAGGGCTGGAAATGTAAATTTTAGAATTTTATCTATTTTAAAAGTCAAATACAAACTCACTAAGTTTGTGCAACTATCTAGTTAAGTCAATATATTCATAAATTAAACTATTTCACATATATTACACAATTTATCTCATTATCAGTCAATTAAATATGACAAGATTACTAAACAAGTTTGAACATGCCAAGAGAAAATACTTTTAAGTGTGTTGTTCATATTTCTTAGCTACCTGCACATGGATCCTGCCCCCAAATTTATAATTTAATCTTTTATTTGAATGTGTTGCATTTAAATGTGTATTTAACCTAAATCATACAAAAAGATGAAGGGACTCAATTTTTTTTATAAATAACTACAGCCAGAAGTGTACTATACATATATATTGATATTTTAATAATATCTGCACCATGAACAGGATTTGAGGTCTCAAAGAAGAAAAAAGGCTCTAGAAATTTCTCATCAGTGGTATCAGTACAAGAGGCAGGCTGATGATCTCCTGAAATGCTTGGATGACATTGAAAAAAAATTAGCCAGCCTACCTGAACCCAGAGATGAAAGGAAAATAAAGGTAATGTTGTTTTAGAATGTCAATACCAGATTTTATTGCTACAGTTTATTTACTTTAACTTAACCTGTGAGGATCATATTTAAAACGTTGATGTTCTTGTTTCTTCTATTAACGTTCTCTTTGATTTGATGCATTTCCTTGTATTGTGTTTTGTTTCAGTAAATGTATTGTATTAAGTGTTATTCAATTGGCATAATGTTGAATGAATAAAATGTTTTGCTTTTAGACAATGTAAAATGAATTAAGAAATGTCATGTGTTTTCTGGTAAAATTGTAATTGACTTTGTGTATCTTTGTTCCAGATGAACTAATGACTTATCGGTATATGGACGACTTCTTTCTCATGTTAGCACATTCATTTCATCAGACCATCTTCACAAATCAGTGTCAAATCTCTGTAGATTTATTTGCATATTGTCTGAAGATGTGTTTTTTCTGTTATTATTTTACACTTTTTATTTTGCTTTATTCTCTGTTGAGTTTCCTCAAAACATTAAAAAGCAAATAAGTTATTCACTTACCCTCTAAATTATATTCTATATGGATGGTCCCTAATAAATAATAATAAATCACCCCAAATTGGTTCAAGCCCCAAACACCAGAGAAATTCAGAAGAAAGAAAATGTTAGAGCAATTTAAATATTTTCTTAATTAGAACATCTAAAACTGAGCATTCAAAGCATAATTGAAATAGTATTTGGAACATTGGGTGAGGATGACAGTGATGCCTTCCATATTTGTAAATTTTAAAAGGTGACAATAATGGGACACCAGCCTATGAAATTTCTGAGACAAGTATTTGCTGCTTGCAGGTCGGTTGATGTGGTTAGCTAACTGCCCTGGGCCCTGTATTGGTTTTGCTCAATAGGAAATTGATCGTGAATTGCAGAAGAAGAAAGAGGAGCTGAATGCAGTGCGTAGGCAAGCTGAGGGCTTGTCTGATGATGGGGCCGCAATGGCAGTGGAGCCAACTCAGATCCAGCTCAGCAAGCGCTGGCGGGAAATTGAGAGCAAATTTGCTCAGTTTCGAAGACTCAACTTTGCACAAATTGTGAGTTGTTACTGGCAAACCCACGTATGTGTTTGCAACTACTACTCTATTAACAGAGGCTCCTAACAAAAAGAAACAAAAAATCTGGGTGCAATTTTAAACTTCTAACGTGCATTCTGAAAGTGAGTAGTTTCACTCACTTTAGGCTTCTGTAACTAGTGCTTAATTTTGCAGATTGAAGACATAATAAATTAACAGCTAATAGGAAAAGCCCCCTTATCAAAAATGAAAAAATACATCTTAATTTTTTTTGCTGCATCATTTTTCATAACATTGGCAATGTGAATTTGTCAATTTATCATACATTTACTTTACTTCAGTGTCTAATCCAAAAATATGTATTGCTTTCCTGAGATCATCCCATGCTAATTTTACTTTCTTAATGTATACATGGTAAATAATAAATATTTTGTGAAACATCTTATATCAACTTGCATAAGGTCTTATCTTATTGACTTACAGAATAATAGCTTAGTCCTCATACCTGGATTAACTATTAATGGACTACAATGCTTATTAGAAGAGTTGGGTGCCTAGTATGATGGTTGGCAATTGATAGCAGATTGAACAATGTCATTACTGAAATGTTATAAGCCAAAAGGAAAAGGAATGATTGCTCTTCTTTGAAACAACTGAAGGAAAGTTTGCAATTCTCTCTTTAAAAAGGAAATTCAAAATTGTAAGCTTGGTCTTCTTATATCTTTATTTGTAAAATAGGGTATAAACCAAAGAAATTTCCTGATAGGTACACTTTTGCTCCTATTCTGAGTTCTTGTAAAGTGACATGGTCACCATCTGTAATTATCCAAGAAAGTACTCCTTACAAAACCAGGATTTCAAAGTTGAAAAATAAGGCTTTAGAGTTACGTTAGGTTGAATTATATGAAACAAACAGATATTCAACATTTTGCCCTATGTAAATGGCAATTGCATGTGGTCTAACACATAGATGAAACTTCTTGGTAATTTCTTCTGTGATATTGTCAATTTCACTTAACATACTGTATATTTTTAAATACATTTAAGACACTTAACAGAACTTTATTTTATAAACATATAAGACAAAATATGCTGCATATTGTGACTTCCTTTCACACTTTAAGAAAAGTCATGAATACACTGTTTTCTATTAAATCCAATACCCTAAAGTTTAATAACAGCTGAATATTCTGAGCAATTGGAAAAAGTAATGTAAGAAATATTGAAACTGTACTACATTTGAAGTCTAATTCCATCTGATTGAACGTTTCAACCTATTATCCTTCACATTGGATATTATGAACATAATATGTCATAAATCACTCAAGCTTACACTAACAGAAAGCCTGTATGTACAGATGCAAAATGAAGTGAAAGATTAAGGCAACCATAAAGAAAATTCTAGTAAAATAGTTTTGCTTTGATTTAATAGATCATTCAGAGTGCAATCTTTTACTTTGAATTATCTGACTACTAATTCATTTCTCCATTCTAATTTTCCCCATGTCTTAGTACACCCAATATGCAGGATTAAAATTTGTTACAACCTGGGCAAGTTAAGTTACTAAGGCTTTATAGTTAAATAGACACGGGATCAAAAATCTCCATAAACCACCCTCTTAAAATGCCATTATATTCCTATATATGGTAGGCTCTCAACAAATATTTGTACAACATAATAATGATTGGTGAAGTAAAGAAAGCATCTGTGAACCAGTATAACATTTTTTAAAAATTATAGTAAAATACTAATATTTTTCCACATAAACCATTTATTTTTTTTATTTTTATATACGAAAGATCCAAAAATCAGAAGGTGTGGGGGGGCTATTTTTGTTTTAACTCTTGATTATCCATGATAATAGAAGCAATCAAAATATGTATGAAGAATAATCAATTTAATATTTCAATTATATTTGGATTTGGATTTTAATTAGAACTGAAAGATGATAGATGGTAAGTAGGTAGGTAGGTAGGTAGGTAGATAAAGATATCCAAGATGTATCTTTATGCTCCACCAATTACTAATATATTTTTAAAACTAATTTCACCATGGCCAGTGATTAGTGTCATTTACCCCAATTTTTCCACAGTAGAGTCATTTGAGATAGCCACAGCAAACAGCTTAATGAAAAGTTGCATTTGGAATAATCCTACAATGGTCCTGATGCAGCACAAGTTGCCATAGCTTCAAAATTCCTTACCTCTCCCTACATTCTCTTTCTCTATTTCTCTCATCTTCATTTCTCCTAACTGTCCCTTTCTGTTCTCTCTAGATACAAACTCTAAGTTTGCAGTTAATATTTCATGTCTTTAGAGTAGCAATTCAATGTAGTAGGCGGTACTATAAAGTGCTTAGCATGTAAGAGCACAGTTTAAAACAAAAAATTAATTTTCCTTATTTCAGAATAAAGAATCAGAGATGGGCAAAGCCATATAAAATTAATGCACTTAGGGGACTGTGTCTATGTCAGAGCTGCTGCAGTAAAGCTCAGAGAAGACCTGAGACTTTGTCCAAGGGCGCCATCATGAGGCAGCACTCAGCCAGACAGGAGTGTAGACCAAAGCAGGGTAAGAGGGTATCTGCAAATGCTGGTCCTCAGGACAAACCTGGAGACGATAAAGAAGGGATAACAGATGTAAGAGAGCAGGTAGAATTTTCTGCAGATATTGACAATGAGGAAACTCTGGCATTAGTTCGAAATTCAAAGCATTTCTATTATATTTCCTGTTGTTTTAGAAATTAGGCCACTCAGTTAAGACCAAGCAATGACTGCAAACTGAACATAAAGGATTTTTCTACAGAATGTATTATATTAATAACAGCAGTGTGGTCCAATAAAAAGAACACTATCTAGGATGAACTGCTCTCAATATGAATCCCAGTGACTTTGTCTGCTAGCTGTGTGATCATGGGTAAACCTCTCTCAGCCTCTGTACAATGTGGATAAGGATGTTTATTGAGGAGGAAATAAGGTAATATTTGTAGAACAACTGCTGCATTATGGGGGCCCAATAAATCAAAGTTTTCTTCTTCTTCTTTCTGTGTATAAGTTAACACTGGAACAGAAACACATTATTTAAAAAAATTATATTTTTATAAGCCATTAAGAGAATTAGGATCAGTATGTATTATTTGTTTAAAATATTAACAACAAATATTTTGTTTGATGCAAATTACAAATTTGATTCCATAATCCATGGACAGGTGGTTTTGTCTAACATCACAAAATATTCTCTGGAAATTTCACGCAAAGCCGATGACTCTATTGATGAAGGACATGATTCTCCATACACTTGGCAATAGATTTCTATTTGAATTCTTATCTTCTACATAAAGGTAAAGAGTGAACTAAGAAAAAAGCAAAGGATATGAAGACTTTATAGTAGAAAAGTATGCATACTTTTCATTAAACTTGATTTTAACATTTGATAATTAACCTCAGAGTGCTCAAGTAACTGCAACCACAAAATTGCCTGAGGATACCACCACGACCCAAGGCTCATGTGGAACTCTCAAGGAAAATAAGCCCACAAAATAACATTACAATGGATATGAAAAAAAAAACTTCTATTCATAAGCAATGTTATCAGATGCTAAACCATAAAAGGAGAACTGATACTTGAGGAAATCAGAGATAAGAGGACAATTAGAAAGGGACATTAAAATAAGTATTTTTTAATGCTCAAAAATGAAAAAAGGATGGAATGGAATTTTTACAGTGAGAATAGGCCATTTTGAAAAGTGAAGAGGAAGATTTGAGAAAACAAAATCTAGAATTAAAATATAATTACCGGAATAAAAATTCAAATGACTTTTTAAGTAGTGGATTCATTATGAAAGAAAAAAGAATACATTTAGTTGAAAGATGCTGAGGCAATTTTTGCTTTAATAAAAGTAATAGAGGATGTAGAGAATAGAATAGAAAAGCTCAAACATCTGCATGAAAATAGTTACTGGTTGAGAAAATGGGGAGCATGGGAAAGAGACAATATTTTATAGTAATGACTGATATTTAATAAAATTGAATACATTTCAATTTACATGAATTCTCAGATTGAATAAAGCTCAGCCTATGTGGAAAAAATAAAAACAAGTCCACACCTTTCCAGCTATGAATGAAATTCAGAATATCAATGACCAAGAAGGTATCATAAAAGCTACTGAAGACAAAAGACAGAATACTAATAGGATGACAATATTGACAGCAGCTGTTCGTCAACAATAGATTTTAGAAGATAATGGAATAATATCTTCAAAATGCTAGACGAAATTTCAAATATCAGGTAAACTATCATTCAAGAATGGAGACAAATATTTGCAGACATACAACTAGTTTCAGATAAACACGAACTAAGAGAATGTATTACCTATAGTTTCTTCCTAAAAGAAGTACTGAACAACATAGTTCTGTAAAAAGGAAATTGGAACCAGAAGAAAGGAGAAAGCTATATAAAGCTGTATAAAATTCCTTTGTCTGTATAAAGAACATGTATTAAAATACCCTGTAATTAACTACCAAAATTCTGGTAAGTGCCACAAAGGAAAACACACAGTACTACAAGAATGTAGAAGTTATTTGACTGACTTCAAATAAGAAGAATACAACTGAAATAAGACTTGTTCTAGATGGTGTCAACAAATATAAGGCTTATGCATAATGTGTCCAATATAAATTATTATGAATTATAATGTTTCTACATAACAAAAAATTTAGTAAACCTTCGGAATAGGCCTACATGCATGACCTGTCCAGAAAGGAGAGCAAAAACATGAAAAAAACACCTTAGTGGGAGAAGGAAAGAAATTGTTGCTTTTCCAAATACAACATACAGCAACTCCATTTGCCCTGGATAATGCTATTGCATCAAATACCAAGAATGTGATGCTGGTGTTCAACATTTTATATCCAACAACTTCTTACTCAACTTTTTTTTTTGTATGTGTGGCAGTCTGGCTCTGTTGCCTTAGCTAGAGTGCCGTGGGGTCAGCCTAGCTCACAGCAACCTCAAACTCCTGG